TGCATAAAATCTGTACTATTGATTTTTTACTATAATACCTCGCATATGTTTGATTAATTAGTATATGAAATACCCCAGTGTTATATCAAATTGTTCTTTATATAATTATTATATATATTTTTTATTAGCCATCCTAAAGGTAGATTGCGCACGCGAGAAGCTTTGGCAAAGTCATATAGTCCTTTATTTAATCGAACGCTGGATCCAGAGACTGAAGTTATTACTTCTGCTGGTGCCAATGAAGGTTCATATTTATTGATATATTAGATAATATCATTTTATAATAAATTAATTGCTTAAAATTTTATTTAAATATCCTCTACAATTCAGGTTTATATGCTATTTTTGCTGGTTTTTTGGATGATGGGGATGAAGTTATATTGATTGAACCTTTTTTTGACCAATACATTGTAAGTGTAAAATTCATAATATTCATTTACTTTAATGAAAATAATATTCATTAAATATTGGAATTTAAGGCGAACATCACAATGAATGGCGGTGTGCCCGTGTACGTACCATTACGACCACATGGCGATACAAATGAAATCATGTCTTCTCGAGATTGGAAATTGGATATTAATGAATTAAGATCAAAAATTACGCCGAGATCTAAAATACTTGTATTTAATACTCCTCATAACCCTGTTGGTAAAGTATTCTCTGAAGAAGAAATGCTAGAAATTGCACAAGTGGTAAAAGAACATAACTTGTTACTAGTTAGCGATGAAGTAGTAAGTTATTAAATTTTGTCAAATTATTCCTAAACAACAAAAATTTTGTTTGACTCTAATTACTTCAAAATTCTTTAAAAGTATGACCGCCTTTATTATAAACCTGATGTTCATGAACGCATAGCGAATTTGCCGGGATTATGGGAACGCACCATTACTGTTGGAAGTGGTGGTAAAACTTTTGGTACAACTGGATGGCGTGTCGGGTGGTCGATAGGTCCTAAAAATTTAATAAAAACCGTACTTGCAGCGCAGACTAGAATAGTCTTTTGTGTCAATTCACCACTTCAAGTATTTATTTTTTTTCATATAATCATTTATAATGAGAGCTTTACGACGATGATTAATGTCATTAATTAATCTTTTAAATGTATTTATCGAATAGGAAGCCATAGGGATATCAATTGAAGAAGCTGATACACATGACTACTATGAAAAGAACATCGCGTTATATGAACAAAGGCGCGAAAAATTATGTAAAGCATTATCAGATGCAGGGCTTCCATACACAATTCCTCAAGGTTCTTATTTTATTTTGGCTAATACGAAACGAATTAATATACCGGTAATTTTATTTTTGATAACTTGGTTATAAATAGCACTATTTATAAGTACTAACATTATCTTTAAAAATCACAGGAAAATTACGAATACCCTGAAGTTCTAAACGGTCGGCCAAGAGATTTTAAAGTATGTTATTGGATGGCAAAAGAAATTGGTGTAGTAGCAATTCCACCCAGTGAATTTTATAGTGAAGAGAATAGACATCTTGGAGAGGATTATGCACGATTTGCGTTTTGTAAAACAGATGAAACACTAGAAGCAGCTGCGAAAGCTTTATTGAAATTGAAGAAATACATTAAATGAATAAAACATGATTTTAACAATACAATGAAAATAATTCTTTTTTTTTTTTTTAGTATAGTTTATATAAGTAAAAAAGATGTAGTATATTCATCTATTCTGTACAAATAATTTTGTGAAAAATATTTTTGGATAAATAACTTATTAACCAATAAATCTAGTTAAAAAGATTAACACTCGACATCATAAATAAAGCTAATTATCGAGGATTTTGGTTTTGGTCTTGATAATGAGAGTTAATATCCGAATCATTATTCATTGAAAGATGCAGGGGACCTTTTGCCATTTTGCATTGAACGAGCACGTCGAGCACTTACAGCTTCTCGTAATACGTCTAATACTTTAGTTGTGGTTTCCCAAGCAATACACGCGTCTGTGATTGATTGGCCATAAACAAGCCCTGATGGCCCTTCCATGGGAAGATCTTGGCGACCTGAATATTTTAAAAAGAAAATTTTTATGAGATAATGTTGAAGAGTAATCCCAATGTTTTTTTTTTTTTTTTTTTTAGGAAATACATACCTTCTTTTAAGTGACTTTCGAGCATAATACCGACGATGTTGTTTCCAGATTGGCCTTTGAGTTGTTCAGCCTTAAAAATAAGGATAAATTTTTATAATTAAATAAATGTAACGATTAATAAAGATTGAATAAATATACATACAATATCGTTGACAACATCAACTTGTCGACTGAAAACTTTTTGACTGTTTCCATGACTACAATCAATCATGATACGAGGAGGTAATCTTGCAGCCTCTAATTTTTTTGCAGCATCTAGAACATGTTCGGCCGAATAATTTGGACCTTTTGCACCGCCTCTTAGGATGATATGGCAACCATCATTACCCTAATAGTTTATTGAGATTTGTTTTAGAGAATATAATGAAGAAATTCAGAAGAAACATGATGTATATATATTTACTTCTGTAGCTACGATGGCACTCAATCCCTGTTTTGTGACAGAAAGGAAGTGATGTTTGGCACTTGCTGCCTTAATGGCATCAATAGCAATACCTATGTTTCCATCAGTTCCTGCAGGCATTGAATAAAACAGAATATTAAATAAGATTGATAATTATGTGGAAATTTGAAAAATATATTTATAATATTTACCATTCTTAAAGCCAACAGGAACCGATAAACCCGAAGCCAACTCACGGTGAACCTGTGATTCAGTTGTCCTGGCACCGATAGCACCTAACGATGAAAATGACGACACATTTTACGTTTAATAAATAAATTAAAAAATAAATTAATAACATTAGTACGAAAAAAAGTAGTATACCCCAGGAAACTAAATCAGCAATGTATTGTGGAGTAATTGTATCAAGAAATTCACTGCCGCATGGAAGGCCTAATTCGTTCTATATATAGAAAAGCTTGTCAGTCAAAATAATCGAACTTCAATTACCATGTAAAAATTATTATGGAAAAATGCATACTATTTCCATCAAGAGATTACGTGAAATACGCAATCCTTTGTTGATTTGGAAGCTGTTGATTTGTTAAAAAATGTAATTGAAATATGTTAAATATTTTCTCAGATAAATATTTGACATTAGTAAAACTACGAACCTATTATTTAGGAAAGGATCATTGATCAATCCTTTCCAACCCACTGTCGTTCTTGGCTTTTCAAAATACACACGCATAATAATCATAAGTTCATTAGATGCTTCGGTAGCATAAGTTTTTAATTTCTCAGCTGTGATAAAAGATATATGATGAGTCGGTTTGATAGAAGAACTGATAGACGAAACTGAAGCAAGATAAAATTATTAAAGTACCATATTCAATCGCGGCTCGAACATCGTGGACCGAACAAGGGCCAACGATAACTAGTAATCTGTCGTCAAGACCCCTTATTATTGCCTCTGCACTTGAGCGGCCAAGTATGACGGTTTGTGCTGCCTTCAAGGTTAAAGGCAAGTCCTCCATTAGAATTTGAGGAGGTATGAGAGGCTTAATTTGCTTAATACGTTTATCGTCGAGTTCATTGAGAGCTAAAAGGAAAGAAAAAAATTTAACAAACTTAACAAATTTAAATATGTCTAAAAATAAATTATTTTATACCATTACCATCACGAACAAACATTTTATCCGACATTTTATTTGATTTTAATTTTATTAATTTATAATTTATTAACAATAATTTTTTTTTTAGTATTTAATTTTTCAGTGAGAGGAATAAAATTTTGTTTGACGAAAAAAATTCTGGCACAACCAGTTTATATATCTGTGTAAATGCCGAAATACGGTTATCAATATTTATATTTATGTGACTTATCGTGACTCATCAGGCTCTGTCATTAAAACAGCCAGTTCGAAGCCATCAACTCTATACAATAACTATAAATAAGCAAAATATACTGTTGACTATGAATAGCTCTTTGCATGTTTTTAACGAACTTGGATAAACATTGTTATCGATATGGATAAGCCCTTTAGAATAATGTAGTAATAGATATAAATATGAATTTTGCCCTTTAATAGCTTTATTCAATAATACGTTCTTTTTACAAAATTGCTGAATAGAGGAAATTTTTGACGACATAATTCAAAATTGCTGAATAGAGAACGTAATTTTATCTCTCATGTGCGTACGTATATGTACATACGATAAGGTTGCTATTATTATCTAAATGGGAACAGTTATTTAAAATATAATTGAATGCGAGATACTATCAATGAAATATTCAAATTTAGAAATTTAATTCATTTTGTCAATTGACAATGGCATACGTATCAGATTTTTAGAAATTACTTGTCATTAATTTTAGATTGATTGGATTTTACTTAATAAAATATCAAGAGAATTTTTTTTAAAAAAAAGAAAATTTACTGAGTTAAGTAAACGACAAAGGCTTTAAAACTTAAATCTTATAAATAACCAAGTAACAAAGTATATAACGGCGAATTTCTAAAAAAAAAAAATTCTTCGCAAAAAATATTTATATGTATATATATAGTATATTATTTTTAATAACTATATAACCATATATATAACGATAATGATAATCAGTAATCAACTAAGATCGAAAAACGACATAAATCCAGTCCGGAGCATAACTATATTGCCTACGTCTAATTAAATAATTAACTGACGACGCACATTAGAATTAGAAATATTAGAAATTATAAAGAAATCAATCTACTATTTATTAAATTAAACAGGGCAGGGTGGCATAAAAATTTTATTTACCATCCCAGTGGAAAGTGCAACAGTAAATATTTACAAATTTATTTTCAATTACACTTATTAGCTAAACCTGTAATTACATAACGGTAAAGGCAGTTACCTCTACAGTAGTACAGTATCCTTCATAGACGAAATCAATAATCCAAATGTTGTTTTTTTTCAAAATTATCTTAAACTATTATTCGTCTATGCAATTCTCTTAATCCAAAAGCAAATTGGGTTTAAAAATCGCGAAATAACGCCCAGGGGTGTAATTCCAAATTTTGCCTAAATTCAGGCCATTATTCGAAATAACAATAATTCCAAAGACCTTAAATCTATCGCTATTAAAAAGTTAAGTATACCCGGTATATAGCAATAGCTGATAGGGAATTTTAAATCAAGGTCATTCGAATTGAAAAATTAAGTCGTTAGCCTGTATCAAACCAAATATCGGTTATATATACCAAATTTTTTTTAATATACAGTACGTCAAATCAAAATTTGCGTTAGATCAAAATTTAAATACATATAAGTTTTCATTAAAGTTAGAGTGAAAGTTTATGTTGATTAAAGTAGGTATTAATCTGACAAGATATTACCGGTAATTTGATGCACAACTTGTGCGTCATGTCAGATTAATACCTACTTTAATTAACATAGACTTTCACTCCTAACTTTAATGAAACTTTATTTAAATTTCGATCTAACGCAATGTTGTTAGTCGAATTTGTTTAAGCTATATAGAAATATTTCGACTTTCGACATTTAGCGTCGAAATTCTTACCCGTGGGTAGGAATGTCAAAAGTTCGGTTCGGTTCGACTCGACTCCAAAAGTCGAGCCTTTATTAAAGTTCGGTTCTGAGTCAGACGACTCGCATTTTCACGTGCAACTTGTATATTTAAATATAGCCGAAAAAAATGCATACTTTTGCATGCATATATAAATATACAAGTTGCACGTGAAAATGTGAGTCGAGTTCCAAGCCTGACTTGGATCCGAACTTTAATTAAGACTCGACTTTTGGAGTCGAGTCGAACCGAACTTTTAACATCCTTACCCGTGGGTAGGTCAGGTAACTGGCTACTACCTGGGTAAAAAAAAGTGTAATCAAAATATAAATATTTTCTATAAACCGAGCAAGCACTATTCATTATGTACTGTTCTTGTATCACGTAACAGTGCCTCAAAAAAAGAGATTATATTGTATCTAATTTTCACGATGGCTATTTCCCTGGAATTTTGGTCGATCTGCTGAATTTTTGTCACTAATATAACTATTCCCGTTTAGGCGGTCAGCCAGATGCCACTCTAGCAGAATCGAACCTCTGCTCCGATCCGCAATAACATTAGAAATTCTCATCTTTGATATAAAAGAACACGCCCTATAAGTAAAATTTCGTTCTGCGTATTTTTTTTAGATGCTAAGACACATTGGTTTTTCGCCATTGTTGTCACTACACAAAGATCTTACGATTTTATTGGTTCCAACCCTATTCAGAGGGTCACTGAAGTAACATATTTGTTCCGAAAGTATCCATATTTTATGTTCGTTATGGTGCAGTAACTTACCCAACCCTGACCTGGTACCTACTCGGTTTGGTTCAATCGCTATCGCTATTCAGGTTTTACGTACTTAACTATGAACTTTAATTCCTTCCTTATTTTGGTTAAACCATTTCATGCGTAGGGTTACTGGATTATGCTCTCTAACGCCAACGCCAATGATTATGCGAAATTGGCCTAAAAAAATGCTATTTGGCGTAGATCCTCCTTCACAGTGTTGTACATGGGACCGGGACGTGTCCGGACTGCTCGGGGCAATTGCTAGCGATAAGATATTTTCTGGGACATTGTAATACAATATTAAAATAGCCAGGCTATAGTAAGTTAGATACTTTATGACATGTTAAGTTTGCTGTTGGTTCAACATTGATGCCCTGCAAAATCGATGGGATAACTTCCCATGTACGTACGTACTGGGGTGGTAACTCAACTAGTAAATCAAAACTATGTTAGCAGTATTAGTAATTTTACTATGATCAGATTTTTCATGTTACACAAACAAGTATCGATTTAATCAATTTAATTGTTATACTATCGCTATATGATCATTATTTAATTA